AACTTTCATCAAAACGTCGGCAAGATTTGATTCCATATCTTGCCTTGAAACGTTCTAACCATCCACTAGAAAAGCTGAATTCTGGATTAGTTTCACTATACATTTTTTTGCAAAAACTCTTTTGCTTTTCCTTGGATAATTTCTCCAGACATGTTTACTTTATCTTGACTTTGAAGAAATCACTCATACAAAACTTTCTCTAAATCAGGGTATTTTGCCGATTTGTGCCTTTTAACATCACTATTTTCATCTCATTTGACAAATATTCCGACGCCCTTTTGAGAGTGTTGGATATTATTGATTGACTAATAGTCAAATCAAACTTTTGTTGCACCCATGCTTGCATATCTTTTTGGCTAATAGTTGGATTCTCTTTCTTATGCTCAGATATTGCACTCCTCATTTTATCGGTTAAAGTTGATTTTTTTATTCCTTTCAAATGATGAGAAGACATTGGAGGGGAAACAAAATATTGTATGTGCTTAGAATATGTGTTCCAAACATCTAGCCTTTATAGGTAAAGACTAAACATTTTCATTTGCTATGTACGTGAACTTAATTTTTAGAGACATTAAGTTTCACTAAAACTTTTGAACTTCCCTAGATTCAAATAATACTTTGATTAGTGTCCTTTGATTTTTCTTACCACATACAATGTAAGTATTTTATATTGAAAAGCTTTCTCTAAAATAATAAATACTTATTTATCGATAAATGAATAATTTATTCATTTATCGATAAATAAATAACCTCGCTAAATGAATATTTTTTTCCGGTCCCGAGGGTATTACTTTATCGAGATTTAACTGTATTTTATTTATTTTCCCTAAAATTCATTTTCTCATTTTGTTGTCACCTCAGCCAAATTTCAGTTTTTTGATGAATTTGAATTCTCATCAAAATGGTGAGAATCCATTTTCCCTATTATTGTAGCGATTTTTTTTATTTTTTTTTCGTTTTTTATTTTATTTTTATTATTATTATTATTTTGACAATGGAAACAAATTTTAAGAATTATTGTAAAAAAATATTTCTCTTTAATTAACAATTTTCATGTAAATGCCAAAAAGATAGATGATTTCCCCCTTTTTTTTTGCAATGGAAACAATTTCTATCCCCAATACTAGTAAATTTTATCTATTTAAATGACAATTTTCATATAAAATAGAGACAAACAAATACCAAAAAATACTTTTATTTCAACATTTTTCATGTGAAAAATTATACTAATCAAACATAATAAATTGACAATTTTCAGGAAAACAATTTATAGGTAATTCAAATTCGTTTTATTTCCACATAAATTTCATCTTTGCAATCAAACGACCCTAAATTTATTTCTTTCTCTTCCTCCATTCATGTTTCATTTCACAGAACCTGCCTGGTTCGAGCAATCTTTGAAGGGTTTTAGCGGTTTTTTAACTGATTCTTATACCAATCAGTCCTTTCTTGAGTTTAGGTGATCATTACGGAACTCCTCTACATGAAAGCACCCGTGCTTGGGTATGTTTCAAGTACCAAACTGCCCTTGTGCAAAGCAATTGCCATCTTCTGTCCAAAGATTTTGAGGGTTACATTTGTAATTTTTGGGGTTGTATGCGACAAGAAGTGGGTTAACATTCTGAATTTGTTAATATTCAGGACAGCCTTTTCCACCCGAAAAGTGATCTTTGCTCGAAATTTCTGTCAAACATACGCTTAGTTCAAAAATTATTTGGTTGGAGGAAGAATAAGATGGTGATTAAGATGCTTTCGAATCTTTTCAGGCCTAGAAAGAGATCCATTATTTTCAAGTTGTGCTACAGAAAATCATGTTAATGGACATTAGTAGTAGGCATATTAGGGGGGCGTTCCCTTTCCCCTTTTTTCAGTCATTTTCTGTTTTCAATTTTTGAAAACGGCGAAAATGCGTTTGGTCACTCATTTCCGAAAATGCATTTTCGAAAACAATAAAAAATTTATAACTGAAAATGTAAAATGATTTTTTTCGTTTTGGACGTTTTCAATTAAAAAACCCAAAACGCGGAAAACGCTCAAAACATGTCGTTTTCGATTTTTTTTTTTTTTTTATAGAGAATGCTTAGCAGTACTTTTAAAATAGTAAATTCATCATGTTTAAAATATATATGATCTGGTAATATATTAGCTTAAAATTATTATGTTTTATTAAATAATCAAATTAATTGAATAAATGTCATAAAATAATTTCTTAACATTTATTATTTATTATTTTATTTTTGTAGGAAGAAAAAATAGTAAATTCACCAAGTTTAAAATATATATTATTTGGTAATGTATTAACTTAAAATTATTATGTTTTACTAAATAATCAAGTTAATTGAATGATGTCATAAATAATTTCTAAAAATTTTAAACCAAAAGCATTTCTAGTTTTCTGTTTTGAGAAACCATTTTTCAAAATGATAAACCAAACACGTTTTCTATAATTTGAAAATAGTCCTTCAAAATAGAAAACGGAAACGCAAACCAATCGCACCCTTAGTTTTCCTAGTTTTATACGATGATTGGTTAGAGTGGCATGGGGGTTGAATATTGAGTACACGCAATTTTTCTTCTATTCTTCCTTTTTCTGTCTATTGAATATGAGCGTAGGCGTGTGACCACGCTTATCAAATATCATTTTATTTTTCTCTTCATTGTATCAGTGTTATTTCATAATATACAAATTGCCTTTAAAACGTAGTGGGCCGACTCACTCCAAATTTAAGATTTAATTGGGTCACATTCTCAAACTCAATTAACAATTATCCGGCCCAATAAAATATTAGAGGAAATTAAAAATTAAGTTCCGTTGCCGGGACTTGAACCCGGGTCTCTCGGGTGAGAGCCGAGTATCCTAACCAACTAGACTACAACGGATTGCTGATATGCGTTTACTAATATATTTAATATTCGTTTTTTCTATGAAATTGGAACTAGTAAAATTTTTTAATTGATGGTATCTATAGTTCTTGGTATCGTATGCTGCACTAGCACATGATAACAAACTAAGTCATTTGAGAACAACTATGCTCATCGCGTTTGATATTTATCTAAACATGTAGATCTTGCAATAGCCTCAACATGTTAGTCTCTAACTAGAAAATTTGAAAGATCCAAAGCAAACACGAGTCGTTAGCTAATATAACCTACTTAGTTATATATATCCTTCGATGTTTGAACTTGTTTTAATAGTATCGTTCCGATAAAAACAGATGTTTTAAGATCTATGCAAAAGTCAAAACATGACCAAATATCAATGTCTTCCTTCCTGAGCGTATCTTTCAAATTGATGACGTTATATTACAAATCATTATGAAAGAAAAATTTATTTTGAAAAATTCAGGTAAAAAAGACATCAAATGACAGTGGAAAAATTGAATAAAAGTCACAAAAAACAGTAAGAAAATACTGTTTAAAAATATTACAAATTATAACAGATAACCATGTAAATTGAGGAATTCTTATTCCACTATAATTTATCAGGACAGTACAATATAATATATTATCACATATAAACAATGAACCTGAGCTGCCTTAATTTTACATCTTGTAGAAAAGTTTGTCAATCTCACAGGAATAGTCAATATATTCAATGAATACAAAAACATAGAATTCAAACTAAACATGTAAAGATATCTCGATTCATATATGATTCAAGCTGAGAGTTTCGCATGAATAGACAGACTCCTTAATTGGCGGTAACAACGTTTTGAAGCAATGGCTCTAAGTCTTTTAATCTGTATGGACAAAACCAATGACTGGGATGACAAAATTGATAAAATGATATCAGAAATATTCAAGAATGTATATCGTTATCTTACGTGACTTCACTCAAGTCCGGGTAGATTGCTGCTGCCTCTTTAAAATCCTGTATTAGAATAGACAACGATCAATTAATCGTTTAGTCGACCTTGAAATACAAGAAAAAATCAATCATGTTCATTTTGATCTGGCTATATCCCCCCTTTCGGCTCCTAGTGATTATCATTAACAATTGTTGGTATTGAACCATCTCATATATAAGTTTAAGCTATTAAAAGAGGATAGGAGTCTTCAGAATGCAAGTTCACATGCAGATCAAATTCCTTTTTCTCTTCAAATGCCCCAGAAATGCACAATTTTTAACTCCGAACTTTTGCTATTTTGGTACGATATCAAACAACCTCATGTAAAAGCTTATGTTGTTCATGACATGTTTATTTGCTTAAAATTTTGACTTCAACAGCCAGAAAGTTTCATAAACAACTCCTAATCTAACTTGAGTGTGATAATTTACTGAATCCACAAAAGGCAATGCTATACCTGCTCAGCCGTGGACGACGTATAAGTAACCACACATGACATTCCTGCTCCGGTTGCAGCCTGAAGAAAGAAGTCGAGGTTAGACTCGAGTTTCAGCATAGCACCCAAAGAGGAATACCAACTGGTGGATAAAAATGTTTTTTGAGGGTGAAGGAGTAATCAAGGAATGAATAAAGAAGTTTTTCATCTCATGAATACTTATTCCTAAATTAGTAGCATATATCAGAAGGCATTCATATCATATTTCTAAATTAATAGCTTTTATGAAATCAACCTGTAGTCCGATGACGCTGTCTTCTATTACCATACAATCCTTCTCCGATACCCCCAATCTCTGTGAACCATAACGACACAGCACAGCACGGTCACAATAAAGGGCAAAATTTTGAATCAGCTGTTTCCATCTAAGAAACTAGAGTGATACATTGCCACAACAATTACCTCAGCGGCTGTTATATAAATCAAAGGGTCGGGTTTCTTTTCTTTCACATCATCACCTAGAGAAGTATGATTACATAAAAATTATTTAACAAGGATACAACAATTATTCATAATGAGCTTGATAGCCAGCAATAGTTTTATCTGTCAAAGTAACATCACATAAGCTTCTTATATCACAATCACTTTCATAGGCAAAACAAGATTCACAATTATTGGAATGTCAATTTTTTCAGTAAGTAATTTTACATGGTATACAAAATTATTCTCTCAGATTGTTGAGCATACCTGCGAGGAAGCAATCAAGACCTTGGAACCGCTCCTATAACAAGATAGGAAATAACAATATTAGAGGTAAGATCGTGGTCGGTACTGGACTAGCTCTGGACAAACTTCACTAGCTAGTTTGTATAGAAACAAGATTTTTGATGTGGCAAGTTCTTACATATCCCATTGAGCTCGATTGAATGATTATCCATGGAAAGGAACTACATGGGATCCAAGATATAAGTGAAGGATTTTTGTAGTTTTACCTATGCAGAACCACTCAAAATGTTTGCAAGAAAAATTACGGGAAGGGGTCAAGGAAATAAATTTATTTTAGTTCAACAAATATGAAATGAATGATAGTATATGTTAAGAATAAAGTACAAAAATGATATTATTGATGGCTATCCATTTTTATTACTCCCTTTATGAGTTCAGTATTTATATAATTTAGTTAGCTTAAAAATTACTAAACCCAAAATGTAGCAATTAGTTAAAAAAAAAAAAAAAAAAAATCTAATTTTTATTTTAAAAAATTCAGGCTCAGCTTCTCGTAAGGAAAATCAATGCATGAGTACTAAAAATTAGTTTAATGATCCCATCAATTCAAGCATCAAAAAAATGTTTGAGGCACTTTAGTTTCACTTTAAAAGTTCATGCAGTACTAGTTTCAAGATGTATACATGGAAAACTGGGGTTATTTAGATCAAACTGGAGAAACAGTTAGAGGATCAAAAATAACAAACTACTCCCCTAAAAAACAAATTAAGTTAGAACTTTTACCATTCCAATGAGATTTTCCAAACACAGTATAACCGAACTTTTAGTTGCAGCAGAGCAAACAGCTAGCTTTTTACCCTACAAGATAAAAGGAAAAGGAAAACTCTGTGAAGAGAAAATTTCTTACGGAAAACTGGAATTCGATTAATGTGTCTTTTATATAGAGAAAAGGGGAATGCATAAAATCTATAAGTAGTACCATTATACTCAACTAAACTAATGATGAAAAGGTGCAGATCCAAATAATCATAATAGCATTACAAGTTAAGATTCATCTTACGGCTGCCTTTGCCTCGTCCATCAACCTCAAAACACCCGGTCTAGGCTCAACCTGCCGAAGCAATTACAATGCTCATTGTTTCAATTAATTATTATAATGCTAAAATAGAAACAAATAAATAAAAATTATTTCTCACATCAACAATCAATTACTACATGTTTTCCCTTACAGTTCCAGATTTGATTATTTCTTTGTACCTCTCAGTCTTCCAGTCCTGCACAAAGTATCAAAATTTTTTTATCTATAAATTCTGCAGCTTTCGAAAATAGCAAATGGAACCATATGCTTATTTAGCATACCGTATACTCATAATAGACAATTTCATTTCCAGAAAAGATAACGATATGCATACGAGTTAACAGCACAACAGCATACGTGAGAATGCGGACAGCAAATAACTCAAATGTCAGTACAAGGATGGCCAAATGGTTAGAAATCCTGCAAAACAAATCTGCACACATTGTAAACACTAAGAATTTTGTCTCTTATATTTATGACCAGCTTCCTAATATGGATGCCCCAAGACTCAAGACGGTGGATTCGTCCTTCTGCTGCTCAGCCTATGGGAACAGCCATTTCCAGATGTTGTTCCTCCACCAAGGGCATTACTTGTTACTTACCAATAGTAAGGTAACTATGCAGCTCGCGATCTAGATCTACTGCTTCAACAATCAACTGAGTTCAAGAGGTGTTAAGATGTCAACTTATACATGAGACTTAAACCTGTCTTTAGAATTCAAGAAGTCTAATTTTCCTACACTACACCAATAATAAGGTAATTATGCAGCTCTGGACCTAGAGCTCCTGCTTCAACAATGAACTGAACTCAAGACTTCAGGTTAAGACGTTGACTTATACAGCAGAGGTAAACCTGTTTTTAGAAGTCAAAAAGTCTAATTTTCCTACAACACACTGGCATATGCAAATACACACTTCGGTGGAATAGAACTGCAACCTTAGAATCAGAATTAATATTTAGTTGTTTCAAAATTAAAAGAATTTTCCAATTCTAATGCCCAATTCTTTGAGCACATTTTGTTTCTGCCCAAGACTTGTATTCCAGATTGAATTATGATTTGAGAAAGATAAAGTATGGCTTCACTACATGCACATTATACATAGTTAAACAAAGCTTCACTACATGCACATTATACATAGTTCAAAACAAACATTCAACTTAAGAAAGAGCAATAGTCACGTATCACGCTTTCTTTATGCCCACGCTACTAGGGTGGCGTCCCCAGAAATTGAAGTGAGGTCTTAAGGCCAAGTTCTAGAATTTATATGCAAGTCAAATCCAATCAAAATCTGTAGAAATTTTGGCGAATCCAAATAGGGAAACCTGAAGAATGTCAATCAACTTTGCTCTATCCTCATCAGTCTCCGGAGCCGCATCAAAAACTGTCGAAGTCGGCCAACCATTCTCTTTAAAATACCTTTAACCAACTCAATGAAAAGGGAAAACAGCACCCAATTATCAGCAAAAATAAACAAAAACAAGAGCAAAAGCAAACGTTCAGGAAAATTTCAACAGTAGAGTAAGGGGGAAATCAAAAATAAAATCAAAAATAACCATCGCATTTTAGGCTTCCCACCACCAATTTGATTCTGCAGCACATCATAAAATTCCGGGCTCCAAACGAGGGACTGAGAGGAAGACGAAGAGGGGCAGCGGACATTGAAATGAGTAAAGGCATCATTGTATGCTTGACGATGGAGGTGTTCGGATTCTAGAATTACACCGTCACAGTCGAATATCAGAGCGTGTAAAGCACGAGATGAGGCCGAGGCCGAGAGTCCGCCGCCGCCGCCGGCTGTTCTGGGGTGGGTTTTGAATCTTTTGATAGAGAAGAGAGGAGTGCGCGAGCAGAAAGAGAGAGAGTGGGATGGATAAGGAGGCAAAAGGAGCATAGTCGAAGAAGCCATGGATGGTGGCGGAACTGGGGTTATCCGTTCAGTCTCTAATTGATATAACGACTTCGGAAAAACAAAAATATCATTTTATTGTGGTCGAGGCATCGTACGTAGTAATATCAAAATGGATCGAGTAATTTTAGTTTCACAGTTAAGCCAAACGACCGGTGAGGTCATGCCCTCACATGCCCCTGCGTGGTCCTCCATGAATAAAATAATCCCGACATTTCATGTGTGTGTTGTGTCAACTCCGCGATCATCTATTCGAGCAGTGTAGTTCGACCCTTTAGTTTCACGATGATCAAATTTGTTAGAAAGAAAGAAAATGAAATTAGAAATCCTATAAATGGAACCATTGATTCCAAATATAATAATAGAATCGAACTGCTTGCATCTTGTTTTAAACACATAATTTCAAGAATTTAAATCAGTTTTATACAACTAAATAGAAATTCAATCACCTTGTATGACTTTTAAAATCCATCAAAATCACAACCAGCATTTTCCCCCCAAGCCCCAAGTGTAAATTTCTTCTCAAGTCCATGCTTAATTGCACCAATCACATTTTCAATTATAAATTTTAAAAAATTAAAAAATTTTGGACCTGATTCACCTTAAATCATCACAGTACTGCTTAAAAAGTCGCATCTAAATTCCCAATTTTGTACTCAACAATATTTTTTGTACAGAGTGATTGTGTACAAATACAATATTGATAGCATTGCATTGGTTGCCAACACTGTACTTTTTTTGACAGTTCTCGATACAGTGCTGTCAACACTATTTTTGAACTTTGCACATGTACAAGTAGCAGGTCTCTTATGCACCAACATGTTCAGAGAGATAAAGTCGCCAGCACGTTCGCAGCGATAAAGTGGCAAGGTCCCATTCTTACCCTTAGTTTGAGAAAGAATATTTATAAGTTAACAAAATTTATTTTTAATTTTGTCTAATCAAAGCCAAGAAGGAAAAAAATAGAAACAAAAGTAAAATTTGTTGATAATGAGATTTTTATCATGGTCTAGAATGATGAGAAGTTGATTGTCTCGAACAGAGCTGCATTTTTTATTTGTGGAGCAAGGGAACCTTGGAGGCAGGGTCCTCTACGTAGTTCAGGCACCAATGAGATTGGAGTTACTAGCAGATGTAAAGCTTAAGTAATAACACTTTAGCATCATCTATTGCTATTTGCTCCGATTTAAAGTACTTAAAATTTAGAGCGATGCTATTCATGGTAAGTTGTGACAATAATTGTATCATATGACCATTTTTTATTTAAGACATTAATTTTGTTACATCAAATAATAAGCTTTAGTCACTAACTATGAATATTATTATTCTAGAATTTATTGGAATTATTATACTGATATCTTATATTAATTATATTACTTATTTTTAAATTTTTTCAGTTAAGTTATTGCGTCATAATTTATGCATATATCTCTAAATATTTTGAAGATAAATACCAATTGTAAAGTTTGAGATGACGCATAATTTGCACCTGAATAAAAAAGACGTGTAGGCTCACGATCCCGAAATTTGGTTCCAACCTTTCTCCTTATCTATTCACGTATAAATGTCAATTTAATGCCTTTTTTTTTTGGCAATAAAAAATCATTAAACCCATGTTCGTTTCTCATTATTTACTTATTAAAATGAAAAATATGATCGTTATCCATCACATCAAACCACCATATTTAAAAATCCGTCTCTTATGTAGAGTCCGTAACTATTATATTTTTCATTATCATTTTTATATTAATGTGGCTCAAATGGAACCTAAATCTATCTGAAATAAAAGTTTGAAAAATTAAACATCGAATATAAGTTAGAAAAAAAATCATGTAACACAAATGCAAGTACCTACAATGTTGTTGACAAGCCACCCGCGATGCTTAGGTCTACTCATCAAGCATCATGCACACAAATAGTCGTCGATTCCAAGTTAACATAGGCAAGAAGCCAAATTTTAAAATAAACAACATCGAGGAGGAAGAGAGACAATAAAATCCAACTATGTAATACGCAAGTACAAATTATGGACATGATCATCGAAGTTTGCAATGCATTAATCAAATATATAGAACATGATTAAAATCTAGATTTTAATAAAAGTTAATGTGAATAATTAATTTTAATTAGATATTTTATGGTTTCACAATTTTTCGATCTTGCATTTTATGAACTTCTATCAAAAGTTAAAGCCGGTTCGATTCCATTTTATTGTAAGAATGTATTTAGAAATAATAGATTGATGGAGAATATGTAATTAAAAAATAAGAAAAAAAATTTATTTTGCATGTAATATTATTTTATTGAAAAATGTGTTATTAAAATGAAAAAAGAAAAAAATGTATTTTAAAAATAATGAGAATCAAACAAGAGCTTACTAAAAATCTAATTTTAATTCACGTTAAAAAAAAAATTCATACTAATATCTATAATAGTACTTAATGTCCATTTTAGACAAATTTACTCGTGAACCAATTGCCAAAAAACATAGTACAATAAAATCAATAATTCTCCAACACCAATCATCCATTCAATTCTCAGTTTATTCAAACAGCTTTCTTATAATCACAAGTGCCGTTTGGCCCCAATTTTTTGGAAATGAAAATGAATAAAATAATATTTTTTTAAAAATAAGTGATTGAAAAAGAAAAAAATATTTTTGATTTACGCGTAATATTATTTAATGAAAAACTATGTAGTTGAAAATAAAACAAAGAAAAATATAATATAATGAAAGACAATGCTGGGCATACAAGCCCAACATCTTACGGAACCCTTACAGGGTTCTCACATAGGGTGGGATCGAAATTTTTTTATTTTCATTTTTTATTGCATCAGGGTCCGCATGGGATCGACCCCATGTTCCGACCCTTGTGAAAAAAGTCGTGTACACAGAGTTTTATTCTATAATGAAATGAAATTTAACGAGGGTGGAACCGGTCAAAATCTTCAAAAGCCAAGTGTGTAATATTTAGGTGTGCATATTTAGGATGAAAATTGAAATCACTATCCTTTGTGGCCTCATTTACCATTCTAGATAAGTATTCAAGGCAAAGAATAAACAAGTAAGGAGATAACGGATCGCCTTGGCGTAGACCTTTCTTTCCTTTGAAAAACCCATGAAGGGTTCCATTAAAAGCAATGAAATAAGATGCACTTGTCACACACACCATAATCCAGTCAACAAAAGTAGTGGGAAAACCCAATCCCTCAAGAACTTTAACAAGAAAATTCCAATTCACCGAGTCATAGGCATTCCTTAGGTCAATTTTGAGAAGGCATCTAGAAGCCACCCTCTTGTGATTGTATTAGTTCATACTAGTGGTCGACACTGAATAGTACGATGAACAAAATATTAACTTCTTTTTCTTTGTTAATCACATCACATGCTGTTCAATTTAACATACCAGAAACTTGTGCCCGCTGGGAAATTTCATTTTCCCCCCTTTATAACTAAGAAATGATTAATGCAACCAGCAACATTATTTGGCACAAGACTATGTGTTGACACATAAAAATTCAGCCCAAGTCGAACAGCCCAAGGAGTAAAGCCCAATTGGAAAATCCCCAAATCGGATGGCCCAAAAAACGAAGTCCAATCGAACGAGTCAAGGTGAAGGCCCAAACAAGGGGCCCAAGAATGCGGTAACGCCATCGCCCAAGTTTGCAAGTCGCCCAGAATCTGAACGAATGGAGTGTCATACGGTCGTCCAGAGCTGTTATTCTACTCTCGCCCAAACCTTCAAGTCGCCCAAAGTATCAACAAACATAACGCATCGTGGTTATCAAGGAATGCAGTTATCAAGGCAGTTGTTAAAGTAGCCTTATCACGTTCCACGACTCAAGGAATTCAATCGAAAGCGGTTGAACGATGAAAGATAATGGCAGCAGTTAAGAGGCAATTTCATGACAAAATGACCACTACAAAGAAAGTGGGTGGTTATAGGACGATCAAGCAGTTTTCAGAGTAGTTAATCACAAAGAGATAGTATATGAGGTATAAAAGGGAGAAAGGACGCAGAAGCAAAGGACCGAATCCAAAACTCTCGAACAGAGAATATGTAATTTTCATTTCCTTAACTTTTAGACTTAAACATCTTTCTTTCTGTAACTCGTGTACTTGCGCCCCTGGAGGCACGTTGTTTTTCATCCCCAATTGTAAAGTTCATCGCCAATAAAAGAACACCCCTTTTTGGGACTTTGTCTCAAGAGGTTTCGTCCCTTACACAATCGTCTGACCCTTTTTAATTGTTAGCGACTTAACCCGCGCGAAACAATTTGGCACGCCCAGTGGGACAGTGGTGTTAGGTGTTGAATATACAAAAGGTGAAACAATATGCCTCAGAGATCCGACAAGGAAAGAGCAAGTCAGGGAGGAATCCAGTCTGTAATCGAGCGATATGAGGAGCAGCATGCCTCTCCACGAACAGATGGACAAAATCAGAGCAGTAACAGTCGTTACGAACCAATGACGGAGTTGAGTCCTCGAACCATGCGTGCATTGCTTGGAGAACTCACGCAAGACGTCGTTGAACAGGTAAATCTTCGAAGTATTCATAATATGGAAAGATTTACACAAAATGAAAATGCACACTATGACAATATGGCCAAACAGCTAAAGATGTTAAACGAAACAATGAATAAGTTAGTAGGCCAAATATGTCAACCGGTTATACCTCTTACAAACCACTTTCAAACCAGGACAATTGTGGGACATAATCCCTCTGTCCTAAATCCGAATCAAGGGGTGGAATCGCTTTCTGGTCCCTCTACTTCAAACCAAGGAGGTACTACAATGCCAAATCAAAATATTGGTAGTGGCATGCCTAACTTGGGGGGTAATTCAAACGTGAGAGATAATGTCATAAACAATGGACAGAATATTCCATGTGGTAATGAGGGAACAGATGTCCAGGCTAACGGTAATGGACCTAATTATGGTAATTTTGTTGCCAATCAAGGACCAAACATCAGACCTCATGCAAATCAGCCGGTTAATCAGCCTGTAGGAATTCCATATGATCCCAATGTCATGTTGAGGAACCAGATTATGGAAATCGTGTAGGATCAGATGG